TCTCGTGTTATAAGCCTGATGATGACAGGAAATGCACTAGGCAGATTTTCATGGAAAAGTCAAAGTTGACAGGTTGTTTTACCAAGGAAAATCTTGAGTTCCAAAGGAAAATTCTTGAGAGATCGGGACTTGGTGAGTCGACTTATCTCCCTGAGGCTGTATTAAGGGTGCCACCGAATCCGTGCATGGCGGAAGCAAGAAAAGAGGCAGAAGCTGTAATGTTTGGTGCCATTGATGAACTTCTTGCAAAAACTTCTCTGAAGCCAAAGGACATTGGGATTTTGATTGTGAATTGCAGCCTGTTTAATCCTACTCCTTCTTTATCTGCTATGGTTATTAACCATTACAAATTGAGGGGAAACATAATTAGTTACAATTTAGGTGGAATGGGTTGTAGTGCTGGTTTGATCTCAATTGATCTTGCTAAAAATCTCCTACAGGTTCATCCCAATACTTACGCTTTGGTAGTCAGTATGGAGAATATTACCCTGAATTGGTATTTTGGGAATGAGAGGTCAATGCTCGTTTCAAATTGCCTGTTTCGAATGGGAGGGGCTGCAATTTTGCTCTCTAACAGAGGATCGGACCGTTGGCGATCCAAGTACAGATTGGTGCACACTGTCAGAACCAACAAAGGCGCTGATGACAAATGCTTTTCTTGTGTTACACAAATGGAGGATTCCGACGGGAAAATTGGAGTCGCTCTGTCGAAGGATTTGATGGCGGTGGCCGGTGATGCTTTGAAGACGAACATTACGACCTTGGGTCCTCTCGTGCTTCCGATGTCCGAGCAGTTGCTTTTCTTTGCAACATTGGTCGCAAGAAAGCTGTTTAGAAGGAAGCTCAAGCCTTACATCCCAGATTTTAAATTAGCTTTTGAGCATTTTTGCATTCATGCTGGTGGAAGAGCTGTGTTGGATGAATTGGAAAAAAATCTACAGCTATCCAATTGGCACATGGAACCTTCTCGAATGACTCTATATCGATTTGGCAACACCTCGAGCAGCTCTCTTTGGTATGAATTGGCATATTCTGAAGCCAAAGGGAGGATTAAGAGGGGAGACAGGACCTGGCAAATTGCCTTTGGATCTGGGTTCAAGTGTAATAGTGCAGTGTGGAAAGCTCTTAGGACCATAAATCCGGCAAAGGAGAAAAACCCATGGATTGATGAAATCGACCAATTCCCTGTGGAGGTTCCAAAAGTCTCGACTATCTAATACGTCGTGCCAGAGCTTTCCCTTTTCAGTAGCCACATTTTGGTATGATTTACGAGTAACGAATAGTTAGTTCTCTTATTTGTTCGACATGCATTTGGCTTATCAGGCTTTTATAAGCATTTCTGAATGCAAAATGCACTTGAATCGTGGAGTTTCTAGTTCCCCATTTGGAAGCTAGTCAGTTACTGAATTAAATTTGTTGTCATTCCAATAGGCAGTAGCCATTCTTTTTTTCCAAAGAAAAAAAATGAGGGATGTGTTTGACCTTGGATCATATTTGATGCTGGATGTGTGTTAAATGATCTCACTGCAAGTTTCTAATTAGTATTTATTGAAGAATGTCTATTGGGTTATTCACTACATGGTCGAATTTTCCAATTCATTGTCTCAATTATTTTGATTTTCGTTGATTCCTTTGTCTTCTATATCCTTTCGAAGTATTCAGTCTACCTTATTATTTTAGATTCATCGTGTTTGTGCATGCAATTGAATTTTGGATGTCAAACTCTTTTGCCTTCCTAATAATATATACAATTAAGCTCAGTTGACCGAAAATGCTTGACAAAAACCTTGACATCCTCCCACATTCGTGTGGAACGAATAAAAAATTCCTAAAAGAAGTGGCCCCCACCCCCTATTGTGAGTGTTGGTCTGGACTTCCGTCAGGCACTTTTGATCATTGTAGCATTATTGTAATTAACATCTTCTGTATGGAAAAGAGGCAACATAGTTTTTGAGTAGTGAAGCTGGAAAAGAATGGGAATATTCTAGCGATTTTGATGATATTCAAATCCTAGCTTGTGTTACCAGCTAACTCCAAAATAGCTGCAGAATAGACAGCAGCCATAGCTTACTCTTCCATCTTGACTTCAGGAATCGATGGAATATTAGTTTTGGCACTAAACATTCCCTAAACATTCCAACACTGTTAAAAAAACCATTTTTACTTCAATTCTTGAAATGGTGTATTGAGATTTACATGACTAGATTTGTTTTAGCTTCAGTCCAGCTATGAGAAAATACGACATGACATGAGCTATAAAAATGCATAAAACATAATGAAACCTTAAAGAGTTTTGTCACAAACCTATCGTCTTCGAGTTTCATAAACCCGAGTCATTGGACTTTGTGTTTGTACTGCTACCCTTGCATTAGAATTTCATGATATGAAGCAAGTTAAATGGAAAAGAAAAGGAAAATGTAAAAGAACAATGAAGAACGAAGACAAAAGGACAACCATTCGATAGACTCATAGTTGCTTGATGCGTAGTCCATAACTTCACGACTGACTTGACTTCTTCGTCAAAATCAGTCTTCTTCATACTCTTGTAGTCGGACGTTAGATAACTGGACATAATACACAAGTAGTGCTGCTTGGTGCACTTTGTGAGTTAACCCCAAGCAATGTAGATTTCAGTTTGACAAAAAGCTCGATGTAGATAATGGAGCCCACTTCAAAGCTCGATGTGGATAATGGAGCCCACTTATATGTACAAGTCGTAAATGGCAACGATTATTCCATTACAATTTCCCAAAGTATAAAGAAATAGGCAAAAACTGAATTTACCTGAGCTTGAGTTTGCAGGGCTTTTATGTATTTTATAGTGTCATCTAGTATTGATGCTTTGTCTCTCTAAAGAAGAAAGAAAACTATGAGACACTTTTCATCTTTATAAAATTGAAGGATTCTTAAAAATTGCGTGTAGAGAGAGCATGAAATAACTTTTCTACAATTGGGAACAAGTTCTTGAAGAACTTTCATCTTTTCTTTCAATCTTTGTCTACGTAACTATTTGCCATTCAATGGACGACCATGTTAGTTAATGATAAAATAATTAGTAACACTTAAAAACTAGAGCAATGTCTTGTTAATTTTCGAAAAAATACCATAATCAACAACAAAAAAAAAAGAGAGAGAGAGAGAGAGAGAGAGAAAAAAAGATAGATACAATAGCTAAATGATTATTATAATTTCATACTTTATTTGAAGTTGAATTTTGTAGGTTAAGTAGTAGTAAAATGGATATGAAAGAAGACTTGGGATACCATTATAGAATTTGACTTGTGGACAACCTACTTGGAATCCACAATAGCCTCTGGAAATTAAATTATGAATCAATTTATAAGTTCAGTCAAAATTAAACATTAATTTCAACTACGAATAATGTTATTTGCAGTCGTTCACTGTCATAGTTATCCTATATGACGACATACATGTGGCAACTATTGATTTAATACATTAATATAGTAAATTTTTTATTACCTTATATAATAAATCACTAACAGTCACATGACGACTGTAAATAATATTATTCTTTCAACTATATATTCATAGTTACTACTTATTTATTATCTACACGTTTCGTGAAACCAATTACTATTCCTCTTTATAAATTTGTCAAACCTTGCTTGCAAGAAATGCTTGCCCGGCAGACTGGCCGACCCATTCGACGTAGTTCTACAGTTTTCATTTTATTTATATATTTTTTGGGCTTAAAAACTAAACTCACACTCTTTCATGCTATGTGGTTGAGCACAGCGCCTTTTTCTTTGCTTTCTGCATTTCTCCATTGGCATCAAATCTCCCTTCTTATCATCTTCCTACTGCAAATTAATGAAAATGATCATAATTACAAAACTTACCCCCCTAACAATTCGAGGCATTTTCAAATCCAAATTCAAGAAACTAAACACATAAAAATTTAAAAAGTCGCACTTGTCATGATAGAATCAAAGAAAATAGGTAAGTGTCTGTTTGAGCCACGTTATTTTGAAATAATATATTTTGGAACAGTAGATTGATGGAGAATGTGTGGTTAAAAAATGAGGAAAAATTTTGAATTTGCGTGTAATATTATTTTATTAAAAAATGTGTAGTTGAAATGATATTAAATCAATGTTATAGAATATATTTTTTATGAAAGAATACGGCTTAAACCGGGCCTAAAAAAAAGAAAAAAACCTTCACGTAACTGACCTCAAATTTTATCAGAAATTTCAGATGATTTTGAAAAATCTAACAGCAGTTATTTTTTTTTTTTTCATTTGGTGGCAGATCGAGTTTCTTCTGTTGTTCTTGAATCTTGATCACTCATTTGTGTGTTTAAGAACTATGAAAGAATTTGGAAGGAAGAGACGACACAAACTTAAATGTCAGAAAAAAAAGAAGAAATTAATTATATGATATTCTGTGTGTTTTTTGTTTTTAGCAGAATACACATGAAACGTCGGTTTGCAAGGGGGGAAAAAATTGTCATGGGCACGTGTATAAATGTCTGTAGACCAAGTGTGTTCATTAGCTTGCGTAAGTGTCTTCTCTTGCACAAAAATACTGTTTGTACATAATTTTTTTTACAATAATTTTCAGACTTTCTCAAGTGGTGGGGTTCACGATTATTTTAATCGTGGACCTCATCCACTTGCATGTGTGTGTGCTTTGAAAAAATGTGTGAAAAGTGATGTACTTATAAAACCAATAATCGTGGACCTCACCCACTTGCATGTGTATGTACTTTGAAAAAATGTGTGAAAAGTAATGTACTTATAGAACCAATAATCGTGGATCCCACCCACTTACATGTGTATATGCTGTGAAAAAATGTGTGAAAAGTGATGTACTTATAAAATGGTTCCTTTCTATTTTTGCTTATAAGCTTGTTTATAATTAAATAAGCTGTAAAGTAAGAAACTTTTCTTTTATTAGTCAAAAGATAGAAATTGACAAAATGTTTGTTTTAGGGTATAAATTCCACCAAGTGTCTTTGAGTGTTTCATATTAGTGTGGCGGTCATGTCCTTTTCTTTTATTATTGTCCGCACATCCCCAAATATCTATTTTGTCAAAAATGATTCCACGGTATGCACATAAGGTTTGATCGATAGAGTAAATTTGTCTGAAAAAAAAAATCAATTTTTACTATTCAATGTAATGTGAACAGTCACTATGTTAATATTTTTTGGACCAATGTCACGTATATTATCCGTTCAGTATTCCCAGATATCTATTTTTTCAAAAATGGCTACACAACATGCACATAATGTTTGATCGAGAGGGTAAAATTGTACTTAAAAATCAATTTCTATCATTCAATGTAGCGTGAACGATCATTATATTATTTTATGAATTAAGGAAATAATTTTTGGACCAACATCACGTATATGTCACATGGACATTTATCTTCTAAATAGACATTTTCCGTCAAATGGAGATTCTGGTGAAGGGTAACAAGGTGGCGGATATGAATGCCACGAATAAAAACATTTGAAATATGCCAATCACACTTAAGAATGATGGAAACTTATGGAGGAAATGATGCTATTTAAAAATTAAGGCTACACAAGCTTTAAAGTAAGTAACTTTAACTAAAGTATTGCATAGTTTAGTATACGTAAAAAGTAAAAAGTTTATAGAAAAGTAAATACTTTTTTCTTGATATGACTATCAAGTAATATTACTTTCAAATTAGTTAACTTCAATATTGTATCCAAACTCAAAAATAAAGTAAAAGGCACATTGAATTTATAGATAATATATTATAAACGTTCTTTCACTTATATGACAATATCAGAGACGTCCTTTTATGTTTTAAAAGTATCACTAACCACACTATTTCTAGGTTTAGTTTAGTATCACATACTCCCCACCACTTTTTGGCTTTAAAATGAGGGAGACGTACCTAAAATACAATTGTGACGAAATATATGATTTTTTATGATTAGTTTCAATTCACTTTGTTCAAAATAAAAATAAGAATATAAAGTGACATGTTATATACATACCTACTTCAATATAGTTTAAATATTAATAATATAAATTTGCTTATTTTGTTTTGAAATATTTCAATGATTAAAATAGCATATTAATATAACCTTCTATTAGATAACAAGTGGCTAATAGTAAATTTGAAGTTATATATTGTTTTAATGAACTAATGAATGTTATTATTTAGCTACGTTTTTACTTGAAGCGCAAAAATACAAATTTATATTTAATATCTAATTTTAGTTTATCAATTTATGCATATAAATTTTATTGATACGTTTGCATTTCTTAATATATTAATTAGGATAGTTCTATATGTACAAATTAAAGCAGCCAAATACTTATTACTTCTTAGGTTGTAATTGCTATCTTATTAGGTTCAACTACTATAGCTGTTCCGAACCCACAAACCATTCCGACTGGGGGTTAGAATTTCTTCGAATATGTTCTTGAATTCATTCAATTGCCCGATTGTTTAAGAATACAGTTGGCAATTTTTTATTGGACAAAGACAAAAAAAACAAAAAAAAAAACCAACTACTGTAACATATTTGCTAGGATTTCATCTGTACAAACAGCAAAATTGTTTCAATTACGTAGACTATAATATATACACGTGCACACGTGTATGTATACATATATAATTGAATACTTTAAATCACTTATTACCATATTATTCAACAAATTTTAGATTTTCGAATCTCCAAAATTCTAATATTACTTTTGAATAAGTATATTAGTCAACTGCTTGCGCACTTACTTGCGTACGCTCTGCTATTATCTCTTTTAAGGGATTCTTTGATCGTTATTTAGGCTAGAATATATGGGTGTCACATTTATAACCAAAATCCGGTCTAAGAGAGCCCGGCCCAGCCCGACCTGTTCAACTTTTAATCAAACGGTTGATACGAACGCGTTGGAGTAACGCTACGCGATCAAGCACATTGCAAAACCTCCCGAAAAGAAACCCTACTCTTCCCATTATATAAACATACAAACATTACACTTGTCAGCGTAAATCTCACGTCTCTGGTCTATCTCGAGTTCTTGATCCTTCATTCTGTATTTATCTTTCTAGAAGACAGCAGATACAAATGGTGAGATTCGGATTTTTTTCTCTAATTTTTTTTCTTTTGGAGAATTTAGATTATGTATACGATGTAAATTTGGATTTGATTTGATGAGATTTAATTGATTTGCGTTTTGTGGGTTTTAGGCGTTACCAAATCAGCAGACTGTGGATTACCCAAGTTTCAAGCTCGTACTTGTTGGCGATGGTGGCACCGGTAAATTTAGAGAATTTAGTATTTTAATAAATTATTGTTTTACCTCTGCCTTTAATTTGTTGAGATGGTTACTAAGATGGGTACTTCGTTACGTGGAATAATTGTTTCAGTTTGGAAAGTTGGATTTTTTAATCTTGAATTCATGTTTATTGATCTTTTGTCGAACTAAGATTTTTTTCCCTTTTTTAGTTTTAGTGTGTTGAATATGTTTCGGGTATATTATGAATTGTGTTCAGATAAAGAGTACTACTCTATCATGAAATTTCGAGATTAAGGTTTTGAGTGTATTTTGAAATTGCATGGATTGGGTTGAAAACAAGTGTATTTCTTGAACCAATGAATTTTAAGATTAGGTTTTGAGAAATGACTATACTGGTTTTGTCTCCATGTACTGAGAATTTACTAAATTGAACTACTGTTGTTCTAATTTGAAGTTCAAATTTAGCTATATTTATAGAGCTATATCCGATGTATGCTAGAAATGATCTCCATTTAAGTTTTGCATGACCCCTAATTTGAAGCTTATGTTTCGTGCTATCTAATATTGAATGAGCAAATGAAGAAGAAGAACAAGTGTTTGGTGCATTTATCTTGTGTTATAATGAGTTTTCTCCGATTCGGATTTCTTTTCGTTTCACAGGGAAAACTACATTTGTGAAGAGGCATCTCACTGGCGAATTTGAGAAGAAATATGAACGTGAGCCTAATTAAATCTTTTGCCATAATGCAAATTTTGTTGCATACTTTTCTACAGTCTTTTTTCTAACTATATGTTATACAGCAACCATTGGCGTAGAAGTACATCCACTGGATTTCTTCACAAACTGTGGGAAGATCAGATTTTATTGCTGGGACACAGCTGGTCAGGAGAAATTTGGTGGCCTTAGGGATGGATACTAGTAAGTGCAGTTCCTATTACTTGTATGACGATTAATTTCAAAATTAAGTTGTTTTATACCTCGTTTCTGGCAGAATTAGCTCGTTTCTTCCTCTCTGGCGAAACTTTCATGTTTGATATTGCACTTTATTCTAACCCCAGCAATGTGCTTTTGATAGACATTATATAGGTTTGTTTCCTATTGATCAAGCATCTTACTGAAGTTCAATTTGTGCAGCATCCATGGACAATGTGCCATTATTATGTTTGATGTAACGGCACGATTGACTTACAAGAATGTCCCAACGTGGCATCGGGATCTTTGCCGGTATGGATTTTCATCTATTCTATTACTCCTTCATTACTCTGTGTATTTCTATGGGAGATTGACATACTGGGAATACTTATACTACCTACTGCAGGGTCTGTGAGAACATCCCAATTGTGCTTTGTGGCAACAAGGTTGATGTGAAGAACCGACAGGTGAAGGCAAAGCAAGTTACGTTCCACCGGAAAAAGAATTTGCAGTACTATGAAATCTCGGCAAAAAGTAACTACAATTTTGAGAAGCCTTTCTTGTACCTTGCCAGGAAACTTGCTGGGTAAGTAGTATAAATCAGTTACTGGCTTTGTAAGACAGTTGAAAAGATTGGTTTAGTCACCATTTTCCGAGTCAGTTGCATTGCCTGCAATTTGAATTGCTGTAAGTGAATGTTTTTGTGGTTTTGTAGGGATGCTAACTTGCACTTTGTGGAATCTCCTGCTCTTGCTCCACCAGAAGTACAAATCGATTTGGCTGCACAGAACCAGTAAGAATCTCCCTGTTTCTCTCACACGCTCACACACTTACGGGGTATTTTGCTAAAATTGAATTAGTAAAGCATATCAGATTTTGTAGTTATTTGAACTGCTGATGTTAGATTCAGAACCGCATTTTCAATCTGTTTAACCATTTTGCCTTCTTTATGTCTTTAATATCTGGCTGTGTTTGTTAGATTCAGAGCCGCATTTTCAATCTGTCTAACCTATTCACCTTTTTTATGTCTATAATATCTGGCTATGACAGAAACACGATACATGAAATTGAGGCTTATGTTAATGGAGAGAGTTTTCCCATTCATTTAAAATACGTGGCTTGTAAACCTAACTAAAATCGATCAGATTGTAATTGACATTTTTAATTTTGCAGGCACGAGGCCGAACTTCTTGCAGCTGCCAGTCAACCGCTTCCTGATGATGATGACGAAGCTTTCGAGTAGAGGGAGAATGTTGGCTGTGTATTTTCCCCTGTGGTGCATTCCTTTTATTATATAGTGGCAATCTCTGTTTTTTTTACTTCTCTCTCAGTCAGATTCTCATGATATCATGAAGAGTACCGAGGCCATCAACCATATATGTGAAGGCTATTAAATTGGAACCTTGTTTGCTCCTGGGTAGATGTTATTATATCAAAACTTCCTAATGTTGAGCTATTATTGATTTTTGTACTAAAGTCGTGGAAGTTTTAGATACATATGGTTTAACAGTTCTCTGTTTTTAACCTACTCTACTATATAATCTTAAATGTTCTATACTGCTTTTTATATTCAAGTATTTAAAGTGCTGGCCACGGGTCGAAAATCACTATAACACGAGGTATTTTAGCCCTTGAAAGCGAATGAGAATGCAGTAAATTACCGGATGGCCGTAAAACATTGCTTCGAAAACGTCAGCTCATCCCCAATTTCTTAATCCAACAGACGAATATTCGTATCCTTAAAAGTACCAAAAAATAAGCAGTTTCTTGAAGTTGCATTCGCAAGATGGCTTGCAGTGGACTGGGTGATTATGTTTGCATCATAATTTTTATTTTTTGTACCACATTTTAATTGTACTTCGGTTTTTAATCTTTGCTTATTATAACACTTGTGTAACCAACAAATTTTAATATCATTTTTATTCTCAATTTTTTCAATAGTTAATACATTTTGCATTGGATAACAGTTTTATATCAAAAAGTGTCTTGAAATAGTGTAGAATAATTTACTTTCCCATCATATATATATATTTTTCAAAATAAAATAAAAAGTGCAAAAAAATATTTTTGCCTCATTTCAAAGTACCGACACAAAATATTTTGACACAAATCAGCATCAAGGACGAGACGCCGAGGATAAAAAATCGAGGAAAAAATCATCGCATATTTCTCCGATTCCTTATAAAAGATATTCAATCCATTAGAATAGAAGTTGAAGATGATATTTATGCTCGTCGTGTCCTTTATATGGATATCAGAGGCCAGGGGGCCATTCCCTTGGCCCGTACTGATGAGAATTTGACTCCACGAGAAATTGAACAAAAAGCTGCCAAATTGGCCTATTTCTTGCACGTACCAATTGAAGTCTTTTGAGAAATGTAAATATGGGATGAAGAATGAATACTTTCTCAACAGGAGGGCAAAATGCAAGAATTCACTTTTTTCTATAACATAACTTACCTGAAGTTTTGTCAGTGTTTGATCAAGTAAAGGAAACTCAATGGAATTCATAACTTTTTCAATCTTTTTTTTTCCCTTTCCTTTATTTTGTCTGAATATTCAAGAGCTAAGACCATTCCAATGCCCCCTTTCGCCATGCATAAACTAAACCATCAATTAAGATAAGCACGAAAATTAAAGCTTCTATAAATACAGATACACCCAATACATCGAAACTCGTTACCCATGGATAAAGTCATAAAGAAAAATCGTTTCAACATCAAAAACAACAAAAACGAGAGCAAACATATAATAACGGATTCGAAATTGTAACCAAGCATCGCCCATTGGTTCTATAGCGCTGAAGATAAAAATTCGACAAAAAAAGTTGAGAAAATAATTGCTACAATGAACAAATACGAGGAGCTTAACTGCAATTTAAATATGATGAATCAAACAAAAATTGTAATCACAATATAACCACCCTGAAACTATACAAAAATTTCCCGAGAAGCATTGTAGTAAAGATTATGAATCTTCATTGCTTTCAACACCTTCAGATAAAAAACCAAGTTAGCGTCTGGAAACGTACGCAGCATGGACCCAAAAGAGGCGCGCATCCGTTATACTTTCGAAAAAAAAAAAAAAACACACACACACACACACACACACACCCACCCAGAGAAAAGAATCCTTGCATAGCTACAAAATATATGATATTCAGCTATATTTCTTCCCCAAGGAAGACATGTAGGTGAACTAGTATTAAATAATGATACCATGGACTGTATTACCCAGTAGTTTATGCCACGAGAGAGAGCAAACCCTGGCATCATCTTTAAGCCTTTGAAAGCAAATGATGATTGCCTGTGGCCCGGGAAATGCAGGGAATTGAAGATTGATCAATATCCTCAACGGAACTTATCGAGCTGCCAAAAGTGTATGGAGGAAATCAAACCCATAAGTTAGATAACTATGAAAGAATCAATACCAACATTAAATCGTCGTTTACCAGCTGGCCACGGGTCGAAAATCACTATAACACGAGGTATTTTAGCCCTTGAAAGCGAATGAGAATGCAGTAAATTACCGGATGGCCGTAAAACATTGCTTCGAAAACGTCAGCTCATCCCCAATTTCTTAATCCAACAGACGAATATTCGTATCCTTAAAAGTACCAAAAAATAAGCAGTTTCTTGAAGTTGCATTCGCAAGATGGCTTGCAGTGGACTGGGTGATTATGTTTGCATCATAATTTTTATTTTTTGTACCACATTTTAATTGTACTTCGGTTTTTAATCTTTGCTTATTATAACACTTGTGTAACCAACAAATTTTAATATCATTTTTATTCTCAATTTTTTCAATAGTTAATACATTTTGCATTGGATAACAGTTTTATATCAAAAAGTGTCTTGAAATAGTGTAGAATAATTTACTTTCCCATCATATATATATATTTTTCAAAATAAAATAAAAAGTGCAAAAAAATATTTTTGCCTCATTTCAAAGTACCGACACAAAATATTTTGACACAAATCAGCATCAAGGACGAGACGCCGAGGATAAAAAATCGAGGAAAAAATCATCGCATATTTCTCCGATTCCTTATAAAAGATATTCAATCCATTAGAATAGAAGTTGAAGAGGATATTTATGCTCGTCGTGTCCTTTATATGGATATCAGAGGCCAGGGGGCCATTCCCTTGGCCCGTACTGATGAGAATTTGACTCCACGAGAAATTGAACAAAAAGCTGCCAAATTGGCCTATTTCTTGCACGTACCAATTGAAGTCTTTTGAGAAATGTAAATATGGGATGAAGAATGAATGCTTTCTCAACAGGAGGACAAAATGCAAGAATTCACTTTTTTCTCTAACATAACTTACCTGAAGTTTTGTCAGTGTTTGATCAAGTAAAGGAAACTCAATGGAATTCATAACTTTTTCAATCTTTTTTTTTTCCCTTTCCTTTATTTTGTCTGAATATTCAAGAGCTAAGACCATTCCAATGCCCCCTTTCGCCATGCATAAACTAAACCATCAATTAAGATAAGCACGAAAATTAAAGCTTCTATAAATACAGATACACCCAATACATCGAAACTCGTTACCCATGGATAAAGTCATAAAGAAAAATCGTTTCAACATCAAAAACAACAAAAACGAGAGCAAACATATAATAACGGATTCGAAATTGTAACCAAGCATCGCCCATTGGTTCTATAGCGCTGAAGATAAAAATTCGACAAAAAAAGTTGAGAAAATAATTGCTACAATGAACAAATACGAGGAGCTTAACTGCAATTTAAATATGATGAATCAAACAAAAATTGTAATCACAATATAACCACCCTGAAACTATACAAAAATTTCCCGAGAAGCATTGTAGTAAAGATTATGAATCTTCATTGCTTTCAACACCTTCAGATAAAAAACCAAGTTAGCGTCTGGAAACGTACGCAGCATGGACCCAAAAGAGGCGCGCATCCGTTATACTTTCGAAAAAAAAAAAAAAAACACACACACACACACACACACACACCCACCCAGAGAAAAGAATCCTTGCATAGCTACAAAATATATGATATTCAGCTATATTTCTTCCCCAAGGAAGACATGTAGGTGAACTAGTATTAAATAATGATACCATGGACTGTATTACCCAGTAGTTTATGCCACGAGAGAGAGCAAACCCTGGCATCATCTTTAAGCCTTTGAAAGCAAATGATGATTGCCTGTGGCCCGGGAAATGCAGGGAATTGAAGATTGATCAATATCCTCAACGGAACTTATCGAGCTGCCAAAAGTGTATGGAGGAAATCAAACCCATAAGTTAGATAACTATGAAAGAATCAATACCAACATTAAATCGTCGTTTACCAGTCAAAGCTCAATACAAAATAGATTTCAGGCCAGGAACTCCATTACAGTATAAGCAGAAACCTCTTCGAAATAAAATACGTAACTTTTACAGACTGATTAGATGTTGGATGCCTTAAAAAGCTTTTATTACATAAATCTCTCAAACCTGCAGAAGGTATACATAATGCATTTGCCTCGAAAAAAAATACTTCTGCTGCAGTGAGAAGTACCTAAATATGCCTTTTACAGTAGAAATAACAAAACGACACATAAGGGCTAAGAAATCCAAAATGGGAAGGTATACATTCATATCTTGAAAGATTTGTCTACATGGATTGATTGATAAAGAAATAATTGATTCTTGCAGTTTCACAATGCTATCTTTATTACAATCTTGAACCAGAAAAAACGACACAATCCTACTAAAAATGTAAAAAATATAGTTTTAACAACTATTATCTAGCATGAGTATCAGTTTTAGTAGAGATCAGGTCCTTCAGCTCCATCAAATGTTCATCATTTGAAATATGAAGCGTGATACGAAGATTTGTCAACATAGCTTCTTGATCCCAACTTAAGGGACCAGATGCATACAATGCTTCCAGAGTGCAGCGATAAGCATGCAACTCTAAGCAATGGATACTAGCTTCTACTTCCTCTTTTGGAGGAAGCGGACAATTTTTTACCTCGACTGGATCAGAGCAAGACTCTGCATCACTGCTAATGGTATCTGACACTTGGTGAGAGAGTGGTATAAAATGTTTAGGACACTTGTTTGAATTCTGATCATTAATACTACAACTCCCAACAGAACAGGCATCACTGTCAGAATGATTAGATTCTGAACTTCTAACTCTAGAACAGCCAAGAAGATTATTTTGTTTGGCTTTCTCCATTTCATTAAATTCATTTAATCTAGTTTTAAAGGATGCATGCATGTATTTTTCACCCAGAATTTCTCTTGGGTAAGCAACAGCATCTACCTTTTCAAGTGCAGGTGAAGCAACCACTCTATGCCTCCTATAATCTTTCTCAATTGCTCTCATTTTCTGGGCATGTCCATTATGCACTTCAATGATAGAAGAGCAGTAGGGGGACATCCTCTTCAAGGACCTTGAAGAGACTAAAGGAGATTCCTTAAATTTAGAATCATTCTGAGTGATCAAGCAATCTCTTTGTGTTCGACTTTTAGCCCTTGCATTAAATTGTTGATCGCAGTTTGAAATTGATAGCCGGCTAGCCTTTTCATCCTTGTATCCTCTGGAACCCTGCAAACAGGAAGAAATAGCATATCAGTCAGAGAATGCAAAGCTGAGAACTATTCAGATTTATCAATATATCTGAATCTAAAAATCTCCACTCTCCATTTCCTTGAAAAGATATGGACTGCAAATAAAAAGTTGCACAGCCTAATATAGGCAATAAAAGAATTCTGTAGAAAAATGATAGCAAGAAAGTTTGGGTAAAACAAGAAGCTGTTGTCAAATGCTATTCTTGCATTTAATATCGGTATCATTTTGACAGGACATTTTTTCATAATAATAATAATAATAATAATAATAAAAATGTAAGTTGGCAGTCTTCAATTGAGGTGAGAAGCCAAAAGCATTCCCTTCAAATCAGAGGCCCAAAGCAATAAAAGAATTCTGTAGAAAAATGATAGCAAGAAAGTTTGGGTAAAACAAGAAGCTGTTGTCAAATGCTATTCTTGCATTTAATATCGGTATCATTTTGACAGGACATTTTTTCATAATAATAATAATAAAAATGTAAGTTGGCAGTCTTCAATTGAGGTGAGAAGCCAAAAGCATTCCCTTCAAATCAGAGGCCCAAAACTGAAATTAGCAGAAAAATTAGGTAAGAAAGTGATTACAAGGCATTAGGCAGGAAAGACTAGAAAGTGATTAAGACTAAAGAAGAATCATCTAAGCAATCAGCTTTAGTAATGAGATGAGATTGTCACAATATACAAGCAAATATGGAAAGATTGCATCAATCCAGAATAGGAAACAAAAGTACCTTTGGCAATACAATCCATTTATCATCATGCCATATTTGTCGCATCCTAAAGTTGGTTCCTTTGACGATTAATTCCTGGGAGCACCCAAGTAGCCTCACCAAATATTGGTATCCATGCAAAACCTTCAAAATAGTGGCAAGCTTCCATGAAATACCATGAAATACCTCCACAATGTCCCCAGCTACACAATTCTCTATACCTTGCACAGGAGGTGGACGTGGCCTTATAAATTTCCTTGATACCCGTTCCCCAATTAGTTCACTTTCCTGCCCCGGATAACAATCATATTGCACAGTATAAGTACAGCCATTAACAGATAGTATCTTGGCATTACGCCATGATACAGGAGTATCCCTTTTGTTCATGACCTCCACGTTACTCAATCTTTTGAACTTCATTATAGGTGATATTGTACACATGCAACAAGAATCTGACAAAACCAAGATTAAAATGTCACATAACAGCATATAAATCAAGAACTAAACAATAAAACAGAAAGAAATATCTGAAAGGAACAAGTACGCAAAACTTTTAATCTGCATCTCACTGTTGACCAATACAAATATCAAGAGTAACAAAATGATTTTTCCATGAACTATTGAATCCCATAATATCAAATGCCATATCTTTAATCCGTATCATGAAAGAAAGAAACTGCAAATAGAATCCAATTTTTAAGAGCTTGTTTCACAAGCATAAAATCCAACAACAAGAAAAATAAGAAATAAACCTAAGACCTTCATTTATTCTAGTAAATCAATTTTTTAACGTCAAGATTTTCTGATTTTAAAATATTCCAAAATAAATTATATACAGCAGTAATACATCAATTACATTTATAACCGTGATTCATACAAATATCTATCGATTAATATCTTTTAAAATTGTTTGCTCAACAGATAATCAGCAAAAACCTAAAAAATGTGAAATACTAAGCAAATACGTAAAAATATCCCCCAAAAGGTTTAAAATTACATCAATGAATGCAAAAATCAAATGAATAGCAAATAAATTCATAGATTATTACAAAATCCCCAATTAAATACAACGATACTTAAAATCAATTTTGGTCTCTAAAGCCCCAAAAATCGAAGCCCTAAAACTGAGATCACTTACCTTCTCTTGAAATTCAAGGAATACTTTGATCTCGCAGGATTTTTTCCGAGTTTTTTTTAAATTTGGAGTTCTCTAATTAACGATTTTCTGAAATTTAATTTTGTAATCTAGGGTTTGTTTATATATTATAAAATTGTATATTTATATCAGGTAGAGGTTAATTTGGGAATATGAAAAATGTAATGCAATCTGTGTGTGTGTGTGTGTTGGAATCGGATATCAAAATAATCTTATGCCACGCGCCTCCTTAAACGTCGCCATACCGCCTCTCACTCTTTTTCTTTTTCTTTTTTCCCCCAATATTGGGTTACGATTATAAATTTTTTAATAATTTAATTTATTTCAATATAATATCAAAATTTATATTGGAGCACACTAAAGTGCCTTAGTAATGTTTGATTCCTAATCTAAGTTTTCAAAAAAATTAGTAAAAAGTTTACAAGGTTTTTCAAGGTTTTCGAATTATATTATTTTTCTGAAGTTTCAAGGATGTTTTAGAATTTTTGCACGGTTTCAACTTCCAAAATGTATCTAGAATAGAAATGCTAAAGATGTGTTCTTTTTGCCGTTTTCGAGCTGTTTTCTATTTTCGATTTTTCAAAACGGTGAAAACGCGTTATCTTTCTCGTTTTCGAAAACGAATTTTTGAAAACGAAAAAAAAAATTGTGAAAAAAACACAAAACGACATTTTTGTCATTTCGGGCGTTTTCAGTACAAAAATAGAAAAAATTGAAAACATGGGAAATGGTTCCAAAATTGCAAAAAAAAAAAAAAAAAACACATTTTTAGATATTTCAAAACAGGCACTCAAAACACAAAATTCAAAATGAATTTAAAACTCAAAATTACAAAATTGAAACACGAAGAGAATAGCCCCTAACATTTTAGAATTTTTCTTGCATTTTAGTGTGATATTGACCCTTAGTTCACGATCATTGATTGTAAAGACAAAAATGAAGGAGAAAAATTACTAATTATTTTTTATTCTAGTCGCACTCTTTTAATCATGATTGTATAAGGTATTGATGGTCATGAATATATACACCAATTACACAATCATAATGGTTGAAATACCATTATTAATTCAAATCATTACAACCTATTTAGGGTCAGTGTGACGGAATTTTTGATAAAAGTTTTAGCAGATTTTGATAAAAGATTTAGCCAATTTTGATAAAAATTGATCAAATGTTCGATTTAAAAATTGATAGAATTGTGAATTTTATAAAATATATGGTTAAATTAAAATTAAACCAATTAAAAAGTTGATAAAACTTTTTTAAAGTTTTATTAAACAAGTTGTCAATGACTAAAACTTGTCTTCCTTTTATTTGCTAGCCTACCTGTGTATTCAACCGAGACGTGTACAAATTTTGAAACCTTGGGGAACAAGAACATCTATTTTTGACAAGCATAATGACACTTTTACACGGGAAGGGAAGTTCAAATCTGAATTCAAGTGAAAACCCTTGGAAAAAAACTTCTTATATTTAAACATTATTGGCAAGCTTGGATAGGTACGTATATTTGACAATATCGACAATATTTTAATTAAAAAGAGTTATGCTTGGTTACCGAGGCCACGTGGGCCCTGGTAAAAGAGATTTATCCAATTAAGAAAAAAAATTAAATTTGATTAACTATATTTTAATATTTCGTACCAAGCATATAGTAGGATAGAGACAGTACAATTAATTTAGAATAATGCTTGGAGTACAGGCTTGGTTTAGAGGTGTTTTATAGGGGAATTCAAAATATGTTGACGTGGGTAAGAAATATGAAAAAAGAAATGACAAAAGAAACGGAATGGAGGGAGAATTAGACAAAATACCCGCGCACTCGTTTTTCCCAAATTGAGTTCTCCTCAAGTCCCTTTCTCACAGTCGACGCCCCCACCCATCATTTCTTTAGCACCACACCCCCGAGCAGGAGATTAACACCTAAAACCATTGATCTTTTTTGAAGGTGCTCCTGCTAATAAACACAGAGCACCTATATTTTTCTTCGATCGTGTTCTGTCAAAGTCAGCGTGCTCTCCCAAACTCGACGCTGCACAACCGGTCACAATATAGACGCTGAGAAGGAGATACAACTTACACAAATTGGAGCCTTGAGAAATGAGAGCTTGGTGGGGTTGATTTCGACGTATTGCGGTATTCATTACTTTGCCGGAGGTGGAACCCTGTGACCTCCATCTAACATATTGATTGCCCGATTTATTGCTAAATGTACATTGTGTGCCTGTAACATTCTTGGTGTTTTCGGAATCTTGTGAACCTCAGGTAGAGTACTCTACTCATTTACTTTATTGATTTGCATTTGTTTTTATTTTATTTTATTATGTGGTGCTATGCAAGATTTTGGGATTTGAAGGATTGTAAACCTCGAATTCCTAATTGTATCATTGCAACATGAGATTTTGTTACGGTAGTGCATGATGCGATGTAAATGAGACGTTGTGGGTCATTGATGTGCTCATAAACCTCATCTTTCACAAATCTTGAATCAATGTAATCCCGGTCTATTACTGCCACCTCCATTGAAACTCAATTATAAATGAATAGCTTGAAAATTGTTATATGCAGTGTAGATGAAATTTTTGTTTATAAACCGATATCTGTAGGACCTAAGATGAAAGCAGGATATAGAGCAGTTAATTTATAGAGAAAAAGAGGGAGTGACGAGTGAATAGGAACGTTACTTTGGGTACACTATACCGTTGGGCGGGAGGGAAGAGTCTTATTATTTTTGTATTATTTTATGATGCAATGTAAATGATTTATGTTTTGATAAAAGTTAGCGCTTCCTTTTTTTTTTTTTTGGCAGCAGTAGAGATTATCGAAGGCTTGAATGATGAACTTTTGGTGGAGTCCGATTATGAGAATGTCGTGGGTAACATGGACAGGGGTGAAAAAGAAACATTAGGACAAAATGGTCCGGTTGTGCCTGAGGTGAGTATGATGTTCAACAACGAAAATGAAATGTTCGACTTGTACAAGAGGTATGCTTATCATATAGGTTTTCCCGTCAGAAAATGAAACTCAAAAAAGGGGATGATGGCGTTCTTAGATATGCGACATTCACATATAGTTGCGAAGGCAGAAGAAGTAGTAATGCGAGTGGTTCTAAGAAACCTAAACTAATTAGCCAGACACACTATAAAGCTCTGATATCAGCTTCTTCAAATAGTCGAGGAATGTGGAGAATTAACACAGTTCACCTCGATCACAACCACGAGACTAGTCGTTCCAAATCTAGGTTGTATCGATGCAATAGAGAGTTGAGTGCAAATGTGAAATGTAAACTTGAAGTGTATGACATTGTAGGAATTCCATTACATAAAAGTTACAACTCCACAGTTGTAGAAGCAGGTGGTTATGAGAATATGACGTGTATTGAGAAGGAATGTAGAAACTATATTGAACAAGTGAGACGATTACGACTTGGAGAGGGAGGTGCCGCTACAATACAGTCCTACTTTTCGAAAATGCAGGCTCGATGCTCGGGATTTTACTTCAGTATTGATTTAGATGACGAGTCTTGACTAAAGAATGTCTTCTAGGCAGATAATAAGTGTAGGCAAGCATACAAGGAATTCAACGATGTTGTCACCTTTGATACCACGTACCTAACTAACAAGTACGACATGTCGTTCGCCCCTTTCGTCGGAGTGAATCATCATGGACAATCAACATTGTTTGGTTGTGGTTTGTTAGCTAACGAGGACACCGATACATTTGTGTGGCTATTCAAGACATGGTTTGAGTGTATGCATAAATAAGCTCCTAATGCAATAATTACTGATCAAGATCGGGCTATGCAGAACGCAATTGGGTTTTCCCGTCTACGACTACATAGATGGTGTTTATGACACATTTTGAAAAAGTTGCCGGAGAAGTTTGGCTATCATGTTGACAAGGGCATGATATTTTTAGCTTTACACAATCTGGTTTATGATTCACAAACTATTGAAGAATTTGAAGAAGGATGGAGACAAATGATCGATACATATGAGTTGTGAGAATAGTTGGTTGTCAGGATTGTATGATAATAGAGGTTGTTGGGTTCCTTGTTTTTTATAAACCACATTTTGGGCAGGCATATCAACAATTCAACAGAGTGAGAGTATGAATGTGTTCTTCGATGGGTGTATGCATTTGAAGACATCGTTGAAACAATTTGTAGAGCAGTATGAAATAGCACTAAGGAGTAAGGTAAAAAAGGAGTTTCAGGCCGATTTCAGGTCATACTCATAACTGGTGCCCTGCGCAACGAATATGAAATTGAAAATACCATCTCAAAGTTCAGAGAAGCACAAGATGAGTTGAAGGGAAAGGTTCATTGCGACACCATATCTACTATTGAAGGATTTTCGAGGACAACATATGAGGTGCGTGAGGATGTGATTTGTCATGGGCAAGAAAGAAAAAAACGTTTTTGGTCTCTTTCCATATGGAAAGTTGTGAGATAATTTGCAGTTGCCACTTGTTCGAGTTCAGGAGGATTATTTGCAGACATGCAATCGCGGTGTTGATTCGAAATGATGTCACACGATTGCCTGAGAAGTACACACTACGAAGATAGAAGAGAGACATCAGTAGAGCACATGCGAGGATTGCAGTAAATTACGATCATTTGGTCAGCACTCCCGGATAGTTGAGATACGACGAGATGTGTAAGGATTTTTCGCAAGTAGCCGACCTCGCTGCAGATGATGAAGTCTGGACACGGGCTATAATGGACTGGATAAAATCTCAAGCAACAAAGCTTATGCTGATGAAGTCGTGTCCAGGAAATAGTATTGTTTCACAGCATGCTCTTCATTTAGCCTCGCAATGTAATGATTCGCAAACTACCGGTAGCAAGAGCATATGGGATCCAAAATTGACAAAGCGAAAGGGCGCACCATAGAGACTTCGGAGAAAAAGTCCATTGGAGCCTACGTCAAAGAAATCGACGGTAATGTACTTTCTTATTTACCTCATTTGTTACTCAATCCAATTCCAGATTCTCAATATTGTTCTTGTTCGGGTGTAAATACAGTTAGCTTCAACATCATGCAAAGGAAAGAGACCAAGATCAAGACAAAGTAATATAGAGGAGGCAGTTCTTGATTTCGTGGCATCTAAACAACAATGTTCCACACAGAAACCTTTTTCATATTCACAACTCTTATTGGTTAGTACTTTGACTTTGTTGTGATTGTTTGGTTGCATCCCAAATTGACGTTGTTCTGTGATGTAGGGCAACGCCTAAAGTTAAGTATTTTCACAGCACTTGCCACCATCGAATTTGATCCCTCCATCATCAACGAATGTTGAGTTACGTGCCGAAGGTGAATAAAATTTTTGAATCATCACTGCATTAAGTTAAATTTGTTCGTTAGCATTTACTAAATTCAATATTGTCCAAATTATGATAGGTGGCCCAAATTTATAAATTGGTGGGCTGCAGTTTATATGTTAACAAGGCAGGTTGTGCGTATCGTAAGTTTCGAAAATTTTCAACATCTTCTGTGAAGGGAAAATGTGTTCTTTCCTGCATTTTATGTTTCCTGAAACTGAACAGCTTTTTTCATTAGGTAACTCTTCTCTTGCAGCTTGAAATGATGTCAGCTTGAGTCCATGCACTTGTTCACCATTTGATTGCCTTTCCATTTTGAATGAGTAGCTGTAAGAAATGAAGACAAATTAGCATACTTTTGTAACATATTGTAGTGTGTTTTACTAGTATCTATTGTGATCGGCCTTTTTTTCCCCCTATTGGATGACAACTATAGCATGAGGTAAAATGAGTCAGGGAAACGGACATGCGGATAGACCAAGTGGAGATGTGAAATTTTGAAATGATTTTGAGGTGGTCTACATAGGAAGTAGTTGCTCTGTGTATTGATTTTTTATGCATTTCTTACAAAGCTTAAACGTTGTAGACCTTAAGTTTATGTTATATAATATCAGTGTGTTTGTCATTTGAAACCAACTGTTTGTCCCTACAATTATGCAATGTAATGGTTGAAAATAAAGTTATACCAAAGAGGTGATCGAAAGAAGATGGGGGTGAAAATGGCGTACAAGACTGAAGGGAAACAGCAATTCTGGACCGTGAATTACAAAGCATGTTCTACAATCATTTTTAGTTTGTATAACTCTGTTTTCTTAGAATCTTTAATAGAATGCATTTCACTCAATCTAGGCTTATTTAAGATGCTTAAGTTGAATGGATATCGAAACATTAGACGTGATTTTATGTATCAAATGACCTAATGGAAATTAAAAATGAAATGCGATTTAAAAGAACATAACTGCAATATTAAAAGGTCACAAATAAAGCTATAGTTATTGTAAAGGTAGTTTGTACATCGTAGTTGTTTTTTAAGCCATGAACTCGAATTTTACGAGTTTGAATGTGACTGAACTGAGCTATGTACATCAAGTTATTTTTCCACCCAGACTCGGCAAACCCAATTGGCCTAAGATATTGAAATGATTGAATTTGAAACTCTTGTAAAATCAAGATTGGAGCAAGATGCAAAGGTTTGAGAAGTTTTTATATTTGGCCATTTGTAACTTTTTTATGCCTCCACACATGGACAAATCCTTGGCAGTTTAGCTTACCTAACCGAATGGTTGATAAACAACTAACTACACCAGTAACAGAAAGTATAACAACCAAAAGTCAGTTTAAATCATCTTCCGCAATAGGAACATAAACCTAAATTGCATTACGCCCATTTTCTGATAGAAAATTAATACTAGTTACGTCGTTCATATGTTCTAGTACAAACATAAATCAACTAACACGTTCAAAGCAATACAACTAATCAAGATGACTCCTTTGCTTTCCCGTTGCCTTTCGAACTTCCTTTTCCCTTGCGAAATGTAATGTTCAAGTTAATCTCCAAGTCTCGTTCATCGAATATTCGAGCAAGAGTGTTGAACATACTTGACAAATTTTCAACTTCCTCAGTTGCCACAGCATTGAGTGCTTCATTAGTGACACTTGATTCTTCGCTTGACTCTCCTTGGTTGACCCATTCGAAAAATCCACATTTACTACTGCATATATTGAATAATTGCCTTTTGTTAGGCTTTTGCCTTTCAACCTCAAAACATTTTTGAAATCCATGTGCACATCGTGGTCAATAAAGTTTTCTCTAGCATTCAACAAAAAAATGCTCATTGCTCCTATAGCTATGACAAATTCCAGCATTCCTTCCTTTCATATCCTTAGATGGGAAACAAGCACATAAATCAATTTCACAAACCATTGCTTAAATTAACCCCAAGTGTTCAACAAAAGATGCAGCAGGTGAAATAAATCAATTGCAAATGAGCTTGTCCATTATTGCAAGAATACCCAAATCATCAATTGCAAATAAACTTTTGCCCAAATTACTGCAAGAATACCAAATCATCGATCGCCAATTTATACATAACAAATCAAATTAATATGAAAATTAGCCTCACTAACGGGGATGGATTAATCTCCAGTAACATACAACAACAGTTGAGATATTAGCAGGATGGAAACAGAGTTTCATTTACCCAAATGCAATCAATTGTTTCAATTCCTTAATACTACTTCACTCGAACCTAATTAAGAATCTCTCAAGCAGATCTTAACCATGTTCAATAAATCATAAATATGAAGCTCAAGCAAGATAGTGCATAAATCTTAACCACCTAAGGAAGAGTCCCAACTATCAACATGTATCTTAGGCAGGATAGTCAACCAACTGAAAACTTATTAACCAACAACTCTTCAGCAGTAAAATAATCACATAGAATCGATCCCTACACAGATGGATTGCAAATCAGAGAAACATAATGTCGCAGGAATTCAAAGTAAAGGGTAAATATTATACCATATTACCCCACTTTAGTAAGATAAAAGAAACGATGCAGGGTTATGTCTTCTATGAAAAAACTCCTAAATTTCTAAAAAAAAAAAAACCACTTACACAACCTGAATGGACTAGCTGCTTTCGTGGCAGCTGACAATGAGGAGATTTTGCAGCGAAATCGATTGCGAGCAAGGGTTTGGCAAGTGAGTGCACCGGATTTGTGCTGAGGGTGGAAGAGAGTGCACCGGAGTTTCGCCTCCGTTGCGAAGTGAAGGGAAGAGATGGATTTGGAGATTGTTGGGGAGAGAAATGACACTTGGCTGATTTTTTCCCTTTTTAAAGTGCCACGAAGGCCCTATAAAGCCCATGTGAGACGTATCCTGTACACCAAGCAGGATTAATTAATTTATAAGGAAAGGAAATTGGCGAATTAATTGTTCCAATGGTCACTGAATTTAGCCCTATGTCTTTGATTGGTTACTGAAATATAAAATGTTAAGTTTTGTTAATTGAAATTCAGTCCATGTTTTCGATTGCTCACCGAAACTTAAAAAGTTGAGTTTTGGCTATTGAACTTTGAAAAATGTAGTACGTTACTCACGAGCATAAATGTCAAACTTGAAAAATATCGAGTTTACAGTGAGTAATGTACAACATTTTTCAAAATTCAGTAGCTAAAACTCAACCTTTTAAATTTCAATGAACAATCGAAGACATAGACCTATGTTCAATGACTAAAGCTTGACACTTTTAAACTTCAGTGATCAATCTAAGACATGGACCTACGTTCAGTGACCATTGGAACAATTAACTCGACATTGACCTCAAATCAATTCAAGTTGTAAAGCTTATTTGGAACATCAATTGCATTTAAGCCCTTGTCTTTAGTCCATATTTGAGTCAAGTTCTCTAAAAATTCATATTCAACCACGCATTTTTTCAATAAAATAATTTTAATTGTAAACCAAAAAAAAGTTAATACTTTTTAACTACTCATTTTTCAAAAAATCATAATACATAACCTTTTTTTTCCACAAAAAATAGAGCTAAAAATTGTCTAAATAATGGTACATTTTGACACATTTGATCAAAACGTGCGGTCAATGGGAGGACTTTATTAAGTACCTTATTTCTTGATACAACTGTCCATTTGGTCTCAGCCATGTCTAACTCGTAGGGTTGTCAGTTTGGCTCTCTAACTTAGATGGCCAATGGTTCGGCTCAGAAAAAGCCCAAACCGACTTGACTCGCAACTCAAAGAAATTGAGTTGAGGCTCGGGTAGAGCCTCATTTTGGGGCATCGGCTCAAGTTTGAGTTGGCCCGCATGGCTTGTCGAGCCAGACGGGTTAGCCCAAGTCATGAGCCAAAAATGGCCAGTGTTATTGGAAAAAAAAAAAGAAAAAAAAAAAAACAAATGGCAGCTGAAGTTGCCTTAAAAACATGCAGCAATAGTTGGCAGTTACAAAAACGAGACCGTTACGACTACCGCTAAAATAAGTAGCTAAGTCTATTTTTGTTTCAAAACATTTATTTGTTTATTTTAAAAAAATTGTCGTGTTTTAAAAAATTATTTTCAATCTATTATGTAATTTTAAATTCATTTATTTTTTCAAAAAAAGACACGAAATATTTTATTCATGTATAATTTTAAGTTCGTTTATATTGATTGTAGTCGGTCTCAAGCCCCTTGAAAGGAGAAGGATTGTAATTTTTATTTAATTTAAAATTTGTATAAATTGCACATATTTTAAATTGTTTAAAAAAAAATTTAGAATGTCATGAATTAAGAAAAAATAGCAAGGGCTCGGTTAAAGATGAAAGCCATTTGAACTAAGCTTCAATTTTCCGGTCGAGTTTGGCTTGGCTTGGGCCAAAAAAACCCTGAGTAATTTTTACCTGAGCCTCGGCTAAACTTGACTTGTTGATCGTTAGGGTTAGTAAACAAGTTGGGCTAAAGGGAGCTCAAAATTTGCCAAGCCATAGATTATACAGGGACAATTCCTATTTTCTTTCCCAAATGGAATAAATTCAAAGTCATTCCAAGAAAATCAATGGAGTTGTTTTTAAATCTGTAGTAAGCGATTATCTTCTTTAGCGTCCATTTGGTTTTGCTAAAATAAGATTTTTAGTAGATTTTAATAAATATTTTTGAAATGTATATTTGAAAGTTGTGAACCTCATTAAATATATGATTAAAATTTGTCAATTCCAAACACAGTTTTAATATTAAAACGCCCTCAACTTACCATCAAGCCATAATTAGAAGTCACGATCAAATGCAAATTCATTTACAAATGCATCTGAATTACCTCAAAGTAATAAATTAAAATATATACTCATTGGTCTTTTCATAGAGAGAGAGAGAATTTGCAAATGCATCTGAATTACCTCAAAGTAATAAATTAAAATATATACTCATTGGTCTTTTCATAGAGAGAGAGAGAGAGAATCGCCATCAATTACAACTTTATAACAATACTTAAATATTTGTCGTAAGGATTAAACGAGTCGAGTCAACTCGTGGGCCGAAACTCGAGATTCCGGTAAAAATGACTTGGACTTTTTTTTTATCCGAGCTGAGTTAAGCCAAAGTTCGGCTGAAAAATTGAGGTTTGGTTTAGGCTTTCGACTTGGGCATTTGTGACATTCTAAATTCTTTTTAAACAATTTAAAATATGTGTAATTTGTACAAATTGTAAATTAAATAAACATTACAATTCCCCTCCTTTTTTGGGGTTTGGAATCAACTACAATCAACGAAGACAAAGTTAAAATTATATATGAATAAAATATTTCTTATGCCATTTTTTTTGAAACAAATAAATTTAAAAATTACGTAATAGATTGAAAATATTTTTTGAAATAAAAACAATTTTTTTTTGAAACAAACATACAAATGTTTTGAAACAAAAAATATACTTAGCTCTTTGTTGCATGCATCAGCAAACATGCAGCCACATAGCTGCTTTGTTTCTAGTGGTTGCCTCTTTGTTAACAAACAAAGCTACTTGACCCAACTGAAATCCAGGCTTGAGTACAGGGATTTGAAAAGTCATAAACAACAATTATTCTACCATCTACAATTTTCTTTTGGCTGAACGAAAATAAACATATCAAAACTCCCATTTTCTCAAATCTTCATGTTCACGAATCAAGAACTCCCACCTTCATCTAACATCTTCACAATCACATTTAGCAAAATAATATCAGCCTGGACTTCAGGTGAATGTTCAAGGAAACCCGTTACAACTTTGTCCTTTGTGAGAGATGACTGGAGACAAGTTGCCATCGGAGACGGCGGCGGTGCTCAGAAATCAATTGCCCGGTTCTCCGGTAAGGATTTCGGCCAGTAGCCATTTTCTCCTGTAATGAAAACTTCTTTCTCCTGCTGTAATTATAAACAGGAAAGGGGAGAATGTGATGGTGAAATTGTAATTATAAAGGGGAAGAGGGGAGAGATAGTAATGATGAAATTTTTAGGATTTTGTTCAACAATAGGAGCAATAAAAATAGTTTAATTTCAGTTTTTTGTACATTAGCTTTACAGGTCTTCACTAACTGCTAGTAACTACTCTTCATTCCGGTGAATTGATTGCACACGCACACCATTGTACTCATGGATCAGTTCTTACTGGTCCCTCTACGCGATTGATGTCCATAGAAAATTTGGATTATTGGAGTTGAATGGTGATGATATTGATATCAATGAAGACATCATAAAGCATAAAACATGAATCAAGAATATAGGCAACAAACCAAAACATACAAGCACAAGTTTTCTCGCAACAAACAAACCAAAACATATAGACCCAGACGATTAACACTATACATTCACAAGCTTGTATCCATAGACGACGGGAGATAAAAGCAAGGGAATCGAGAGATCTTTCTAGTAATTAAAAATGATTGTTGGAAATTTTTTGGTGTTTATAATTCGAACAACAGGATGATTGTCATCCTTTCCCTTCCATCCATTCATTTACTTGGTAAAACACACAAAAGATCCAATTTTTATTAATTATATCACTGCAAAATCACAGCCTTCTCACGCCTTTACACACTACAGTTAGAATAATAATTCCAATGCCCCCCGGGGCACAGCTCAACTGGTGGATCAATCAACATTGTCTTGCTTCCAGCGGCAGGGTGGAGAGTTCGATTTCTGGTGGGAACCTGTGGCCAAAACTTTGGTATGGAGCAATCACTGTGGAGAAGGGTCTCTTGTGCGCAGAAGTATACAGGCAATGGGGGAACCTGTGATCCAATTGAGGCATAACCCGTGATTTACCCCCTCCAAGGTTCTAGGGGCAAGGGTCTTGGGGGGTCCAAGATTTAGTCTGGTGTAAACTGGGATACCTGGATATCAAAAAAAAAAAATTCCAACGAACAAATTGGTAAACTAAACTAAACCACAAAAAAAATGAATATTTTAACAAACGTTTAACACAGGGTTTCCATAAATTACAGAAAAAGTACATATAGCTTGAAAAAAGAAAAATAATGGAAAACATTTAGGCCTTAGAGTAAGAGAAAAAAAAAAAGCGAGAGATTACACAACACCACTGTTTCTTTTTGTCTATATGAAACTATGACTACAACGATGCAGCCGGAGGTGAAGTGAGAGGCGGTGAAACCATGGCTCGGCCAAAGCGAAGGCAAAACCTTTTGTTGAAGTGCGGCCGGAGAATGTGATCCGTCTAGTGCTGAAAAAGTCAAAGGAATTGCTGCCCGATCGATAACGATCACCTTCGATTGCAGTGTTTCTGGAGATGGTGAGGTGCCAACAGAGTACCGACTCTGAATTTCGATGTTGGGAGAAATGTTAAGTCGTGAGTGTAGAGAGATTTGGGAGAGAGGCTGCGTTTTTCAAAAAAAAAAAGGTTGAACCCCACCGCTCCACCCTAGAATTTTATGAGGGAGGTAAATCGCGGGATGTGCCCCAGCAGGTCAGGGAACAAGAGCTATCTGTACACTACACCTACAAAGAGTCCAATTCTACGTCTCAAGAATCGAACCCCCACATTGCGACTGCCAACAAGGTGTAAGATAATCTCACTCCTGTCATTTGCACCACTGGGTTATGCCTGGGGGGCGAGGGTGCATTTTTCTTTGAGAGATTTGGGGGAGAAAGACTGCGTTTTTCTTTGGCTTTAGTTTATGTTTTCTTTCCTTTTATTTATTTTTAATGCTTTTTAAAGTGCAACGTCGGCCTGGACTTTACCCTATTTTCTACCTTATGCGTGTAGCAGAATTGATTTTTTAAACAGGTAGCTTTAGCTGCCATTTGGCTTCTTCTTCTTCTTCTATTTTTATTTTTTTCTTGTTTGAAATAATATGGGCTGGCCCATCTGGCTTGACGAGCCACAAGGGCCAGCTCGGGCTTGGGCTAACGTCCCAAAATAAGGTTCTATCCGAGCCTCGGCTCAATTTCTCTAAGCTACGAATTAGGCTGGCTTGAGTTTTTCCCAATTGAAGTCATGGGTTGCTCGAATCAACGAGCCAAATTGACATATAGAAAGCAATAAATCAAAATCACAAATCTTAAAATATTAATATTAATCTTATAATTGGATAACATCAAATAATATATCTTCAAAGACTTGGGGGGAGAGGCAGTGTTGGCAAGAAGCGTTGTCGTCTCCACCTCTTTCTGGCCACGAGTGAAAGTAGAACCATCTTGTTATCTTCATATCATGGTCGATGTCCTCATAAAAGGAGCGGAGATGTTGTATGGAAGCACAAAAACACCCTGTGATGGCCTTCTCTAGTGGTGCGATTTTTATCTCTATTCTCATGGTGATGGAGGAGAGATTATGGTGATTTGAAGGTAGGAGTCTGAAGGGATTAGATATTGATTGGGCTTGTGAGCTAGAATAAGGTTCCATTTAATCTGTGTTATTGCAATATGTTTAAAAACGAGCAATACTATCATACTCAATGATTACACTTGTCAATCTATGTGCAGCTTGTTATTTGACATATTTGGTATTTGAGGTAGCAGAATTACAAAAATTAATGTCTCAGATAACTAGTTGTCACATAGAATCACTATTATAATCGTCGACTATGAATAACATTGAAAAAAAATGGTATTTTCCTTTATAAAGGTCCAAATTGAATAGCTTGTCCTAATTATCCATAAGAGATATGGATAATTACAACT